GCAAACACACCCTCCCTCCCAGGTCTCCGTGATACGTGCCAAGTCAGGCCCCTCGTCCACGATTAAATCACGGATGAGATGTGTTTTAGTGGGGAAAAAGCTGGCATTCAGCAGCAGCTCCGTCAAGCCTGAGGGCCAGTTGACCTGACTGCCTGGAACCTTCGGGTTGGGGGAAGAACCAGAAGAAGGGGCAGACACCAAACTTCGGTCCCACCTTCTCCTAGGATGGCACATTAGACCCCCGATGGCATATCTTCCCCTGCCCACTACCTCCCCAATACTGGTGCCCATGCACTCTCCCGGTAGTCACACAGTGATTTAAAATCACAAAAATAGCACTCAATGCTTAGGCACAATACAGATAAAAACCCAGTGATAAAACAACCAACCAAGAAAATCTCAGAAAAAAAACCGAGCCGAAGCCGAGCTGAAGCACTGAATTACCCCAGATCGACTCGGCACCCTTTTGCCATCACCCTTCGGCGGCCACATAGTGAGATAAATGCTGGGCCCCTGCCCCGCTATCGGTCTCTGCCCACTGGCACAGCTTCCGCCCACGACACGGGACGAGCCACTGAGGGCGAAGACCACGGAGGCCTCTCCAGCAGCAAGAGGGCGGGAGCAGCGGCGGCGACGGCCCATCCGTGGCGGCAGCAGCCTCGCCGGAGTCTGCAGCAGCACCAGCAGTGGTGGGTGGGTCTGCGGGGCTGGGACGGTGGTGCAGGCCAGGCCAGGCCAGGTTCACCAGAACGCAGGCAAGCCCACAGGTACACAAAGCAGGTGCTGGGGGGATCCTGGGAGATCCAAGGGGGGACCATATGGAGAGCACCCCATCTCGAGAAACTGGGACAGCCTGGCCCCATGGAGGGGCCCATGGGTCCCTTCACGGGAGGGTCGTGGCAACCCACGCTGGCCTGGGTGGAGTAGACAGGGGCACGCCCTCCTTTTCCACTCCAGGTCGCACCCTCCTTTGCCCAATGGGGCCTCCTGCTCGTCCTGATTTTTCCCAGGCTCCTAGCATTGGGGTACATGCATCTCAGCTCCTTCCCACAGATCCCTGTCTTTGGGTCCCCGCCCCCTTCCTGCCATCTTCCCCGATAGAGGCCCCCCCTTCGGAGGAGCCCCGCCTGCCCCTGCAGTGCCTCCAGCTCCCTGGACCGAAACCCTGGTCCTCTCCCCTCACTTGCTCCATCAGGACATGTTTTGGGGGGGCTGAACACCCCCCAGTGAGGATGTCCCTGCGACACGTCCAGGAAAAACGTGAGCAGATGCTCTTGCGTGCCCTTCCAGGCTTTCCCTGCTGCGTCTTTGACAAAGGCCCTGACCACCTGCCCTTCCCCACCTTGTTCTTGTGCAGCCTCTGCTCGGGGTGGACACGCTGGTATTCCAGTTGTGCATTTCACATGCGGTGCTTTAATTAGTGCAAGGGGCCACACAGAAGGGCTGCAGCCCCTTCGGGACAAACAAACCCGGGGCAAAGCAGATCCGGTCCCCTGGGAAGGAAGGCTTGGTGCCCCCTGCCCTGCCCAGCCGCAGCCATGTCCCATCCCCCGTGTCTGGTCACCCCCGGCACCTGCAGCCACCACCTTGTGTCCCGCCTGCTCCTTTGCTGGCGGGGGAAGATGGCCAAGGACGGACCCAGCCTCTGCCTGAGCTTCCCGCTGCCAAAGAATGGGGGCCCGAAGCCAAGGTGGGCCGGGGCTCCTGAGCATCAGGCCTGCTGATCTGAGCTTGGGCAGAGGGGCACACACGCTCCGCACCTGAGTTTTGCTGGGTTCAAGGGGGAGCTGCGTGTTGCCAGGACACCCCTCTGGCGCCACCAGGGGCCACTCATGAGTCACAAGGCAACAGCTCAGAGTTTAGAAGGAACGAAATGCTTCCAGGGGAGCCACTGCTTCCAGAGATTCCACTGCCAGTCCTGGAGCTCCGACGTGAGTGCCCATGGGTTGTGGCCCGTCCGTCCCAGTGGCCCAAGGCGCATTCTTGGGCCCCACACCACCCGAGGGAGCTGAGGGGACTCTGGCAACGGCCCCGAGGAGGGACAAGCCAGCACGACGTCCCTGCCAGAGCTCGGCTCTGCTTCCCCCTGCAAAAAAGGGGCCATTTGGGTGACATGTTTTGCCCCTGCCGATCAGCTTCTCCCCCTATGTTCTAGTGTGGTGGGCGAAGATTATTTGGGGCAGGCTTGAAGACCTCTGCAGCCCCATTGCCCTCCCAAGGGGAACCCCACTCCAGGGCTCAGCTGAGGGGAAGGCGTGGGGCAGGGGTGGACCTCACAGCTTCATCCTCTCCAGGAAGGGGTGCACTTCCCAGCCGAATTCTGAGGGCACCCCATTTCTCAAAAAGGACATATGGGCCCCCAGATGCAGTCTGGGGAGGACCCAGGGGGCAAGGCTGCAAAGGACACGGAGAGCAGCCATCGCACAGCGCCAGGCCCGGCTCCATCCACCCGCCTCCAGCACTGACCGGCAGCCTCTGCGCGGGTTCAGCCTTGCACGGCAGGCCCAGAGAGGCTCCCAGGGGTAGAACCCAGGACCTCCAGTATACCAAAGGGGGCCTCTACCACATTGGTACAGTCTTCCTCCAAACAGAATATCGCTCTTGTTCTCATGTCATCAAACCGCATTTAAAGATTTTTCACCATTCCAGCTAGAAGGGGATTTATTATTTCTCCACTGAATGAGAGCAAAGCCAGCCTGCAAGTGCGAGTGAAGTGTTCAGAATTCCAAGCCCCAGAATTGCAGCTGCTCTGGGGAAAGCGGAAGCTGGCCGGGACTGACCCACTGCTGTCCCCATAAGGAGGGGCAGCTATGCGGGTGAGGAGGGAATGTGGCCTCTCTCGGCCCTTAATCAGAAACCTGGGACTCCGCAGGATGAGGCCCAAC